CCCCCCCCTCCGCACCAGCTTTGCTCCCCGCTCTCCCCTGCCCTGGCTTTGGAAGTCTGAAACACTTCCCTGGGAATTTAAACCCGTTGATAAGAACGTGTTTCGGAGTCTCTGCTTTTTCTTCTCTCGTCTGTCTAGGCCTAGAACGTTCGTGTAAGTCTTCCTTTACAGCTCAGTTTAAAGTCTTCTAAAGCTGACACGTACCGTCGTTAGTTCAGGTGAATAGTTTAATAGGTAAGAAGTAGAAAGTGCATCATTATAGCACACATTATTTTCATGGTATACCTTCCCCCCCCCCACCCCCAGAAGTTTTACAAAATTTGTCTTGTAAAAACATACTGCATTAATCATGAAACACTGTGTTTTGTCTGTGTAGAGTTAAAAGAATATAGAATCTAGATTTACATTTAACGTGGGGAGGTGTATTCTGGGGTTTGAACTCAGGGTCTCAGTGCTGCCCCTTTGCTTTTTCTGCTCAAGAATGGCACTCTACCACTTGAGCTACAGCTCCACTTCTGGATTTTTGGTGATTAATTGGAGATGAGAATCTCATTGACTTTTCTGCCTAGGCTGGCTTCAAACCACAATCCTCAGATTTCAGCCTTCCGAGTAGCTTGGATTACAGGGCTAAGCCAGCACCACCCGCTTCAAGCAGATCTTTTAGGAGATAGGTATTTTCATTGCTTTTGGTAGGAGTGGCATGAAGTTCCTGGGCCATATTGTAGAATTAGTTTTAACTTCTTTTTTTGGTGGTTTGAACCACAATTCCACTTGGTTTAAGCCACACATACAACCCTTTTTGCTTTAATTTCTTTCTCAGAGTCATCTTGCACTTTTGCCCGGGTTTGTCTTGAAACATATCTTTGTACCTCTGTCTCCCAAGTAGCTCATATTACAAGTGGGCACCATGCCTGGCCTTTATATAACTTTTTAAAGGAATTGCCAATTTTTTTTTTTAAGAACTTGTCAAATTGTCCCGAAGTGACAACCATTTTACATTCACTGACAACTAAGGAGTGTTTCCCATTCTCCACAGAACTAAGGAGTGTTTCCCATTCTCCACAGTGTTGGCAATATTTGTTATTGTCTTCCATATTATTTTAGAGCAAATCAAGGGCATCTTATTTCATCTGTAAATATTTCAGTACATGCCACTGGTTCCAGGTACCACTGGCTCACACCTGTCTGTAATCTTAGCTTCTCACAGGGCTAAGTCCTGGGGTTTCAGTGTCGAGCCAGTCTGGGCAAATAAATCTGTGAGACTCTTATCTCCAATTAACTACCGAAAACCTGAAGTGGAGGTGTGACTCAAGTGTTAGAGTGCCATCTTTGAGCAAAAAGTGCTCAGACCTTGAGTTCAAGCCCAAGTTCCTGGAGGGAGAGAGAGAGAGAGAGAGAGAGAGAGACACACGCACATGCACACATGGGGCCCTTTTAAAAACAGGATTAAAACCATTATAACAGAAAGCCCTGAATATCTTTGAATGTCAAATCAGGTTCAAATGTTCATTGGTAAAGAATGAATTTAATTAAAGAAAATTAGGATCTAAATGCCAGTAGATCCTAGGATCTATTGCCAGGCCACACATCCTGTTTCTACTGTTGTTGTTTAATACGTTCATCTCTTTTACATTTTCTTTAAGTTGGTAATTGGACTCAGGGTCCAATTGATCATATTTAGATGTGATTGCTTTTAACACAACTATTTCTAGATTGTGGTATGTGTCTTTTATTACTTTTTTTTTGGGGGGGGTCAGTCATGGGGCTTGGACTCTGGGCCTGGGTGCTGTCCCTCACCTTTTAAGCTCAAGGCTAGCACTCTACCACTTGAGCCACAGCACCACTTCCAGTTTTCTGAGTGGTTTATTGGAGAGAAGAGTCTCACGAAATTTCCTGTCCGGGCTGGCTTTGAACCGCTACCTTCAGATCTCAGCCTCCTGAGTAGCTAGGATTCTAGGCATGAGCCACCAGTTCCTAGGAATGAATGTGTTTCTGAATAATAGCTTTTATTTTTATTTATTTATTTTTTTTGGGTCCGGTCGTGGGGTCTGAACTCTGGGCCTGGGCGCTGTCCCTCAGCTCTTCAGCTCAAGGCTAGCGCTCTACCACTTGAGCCACAGTGCCACTTCTGGCTTTTTTCTTTTTGCTTATGTGGTGCTGAGGAATTGAACCCAGGGCCTCGAGCATGCAAGGCAAGGGCTCTACCACTGAGCCACCTTCCCAGCCCTGAATAATAGCTTTTAGAAAACATCCTTAGCAGTTGAGTAGATTTTTTTAAAATTGTTTTTCTTCTTACACTTTTTAAAACAAGTCCTGGGGTTTGAGCTCAGGGCCTGGGCAATGTCCCTGAGCCTCTCTGTGCTGAAGGCTAGCACTCTACACCTCAAGCCACAGCACCACTTCTGGCTTTTTCTGTTCATGTGGTACTGAGGAATCAAACCCAGAGCTTTATGTATGCTAGGCAAACACTCTACCATTAAGCCACATTCCTAGCCCCTAACACATTTTCTTTTTTGTTGTTGGTGGTGTTTTTATTGGTCATGGGGCTTGAACTTGGCCTGGGTGCTGTCCCTGAACTCTTCAGCTCAAGGTGAGTGCTCTCCCACTTGAGCCACAGTGGCACTTCCTGTTTTCTGGTGGTTTATTGAAGATGAGTCTCAAGAAGTTTCCTGCCTTGGCTGGCTTTGAATTGTAATCCTCAGATCTCAGCCTCCTGAGTAGCTAGGATTGTAGCCATGAGCCACAGGCGCCTGGCCACATTTTCTTATACATTCAGATACATTCCACATGGCTATCCTTTCATCTTATGGGCTTTGCTGTTAGATTCAGTAGTGTTTGGGGTCTTTGAGATAAGGGCCTGCTAGGAATCCCAGGCTGGCCTCCAACTCTTGATCTTCGTTCCACAGCCTCTTGAGTACTGAGATTACAGGTATGCACCATCATGCCCAGATTTTTGTTATAGGATCCCTTTCCATTTGTGAATTGCCATTTGTGTGACCATGTGATGTATCAATGCAGACTGAGTCTTCAAAGAATACACTGTTGCTGGAAATACAAGGAGCAGGTGTCAGTGTACATTATGACATAATTCAGTCACATTTAGAAACATATTACAGTGTGATATTTATATAAAGTATAGTATCGGTGGTAGCTTTTATTTATTTTCCCTGGCCTAGGATGATCCATCCTCTGGCCCATGTTCACTTCATCACCAGCATTCTGCCTCTCTCCCACCCCCAATAGCTCTGAACCAAGTGTAACACAGACATTGGATAATTCTGGATTGGAGGGAAGTAGGTATTTGTTTGTTCTTTTTAGCTTTTCTAAGATTTGGGAGCTTTTTTGTAGATTTGTTAATTGGTTAACTCTTTTTGCAATCCTCCTGTCTCAGTCTCAATTTCTGGGATTATAGACAGGCACCCCCATGCCTAGTTTGCAAACCATTTGTAAAAGTCAGACACCATTCATTCATCTTCTCTCAGATGGTGAGTCTCCTGAGGGCAAGATGCTGCCTTGTGGACCCAGGTTGCACAGGAGTGGGGCTATGGGGACTTAGTAGGCCCATGTAGAATAAGGGAAGGGGATGCATTTGTGTTTTCCACTTTTCCCTTAGGAGCAGTTGCTCCTGTTTATAAAAGGAGAAAGCCAAGCTGGGCACAATTGGTTATACCTGTAATCTTAGGTACTCAGGAGGCTGAGATCTGAGAATTGTGATTCAAAGCCAGCCTGGGCAGGAAAGTCTGTGAGACTCTCAACTCCAATTAAGCACCAAAAAAAGCTGTAAGTGGAGCTGTGGCTCAAGTGGTTGAGCTCTAGCTTTGAGCAAAAAAGCTCAGGGACAATGCCTGGTGCTGAATTCAAGCCTCAGGACTGGCACACACAAAAAAAGTTTGTGTTGAAGTGTAGTTTTGTGACAGAGCACCCATCTAGCATAGTGGAGGTCCATGGTTCAGTCTGCCCACCTATCTATAGCCATCTGTGTATCTATATGTGTATGTATGTATCATAAACACACATACAAATACACACATTTATATTTTATTTATTTATTTTGGCCAGTCCTGGAGCTAGAACTTGGGGCCTGGGCATTGTCCCTGAGCTGCTGCTGCTGCTGCTTTTTTTTTTTTTTTGCCAATCGTGGGGCCTGAACTCTGGGCCTGGGCGCTGTCCTGCAGTTCTTCAGCTCAAGGCTAGAGCTCTACCACTTGAGCCACAGCGCCACTTCCAGCTTTTTCTGCTTATGTGGTGCTGAGGAATCAAACCCAAGGCCTCATACATGCAAGGCAAGCATTCTACCACTGAGCCACCTTCTCAGCCCCCCCTGAGCTTCTTTTTGTTTTGTTTTATTTTGGGTCCGGTCGTGGGCCTGAACTCTGAGCCTGGGCGCTGCCCCTCAGCTCTTCAGCTCAAGGCTAGCGCTCTACCACTTGAGCCACAGC